GGTGCGCGGCCGGACCCGCCACTTCGGCTCCGGCCACGGCAGGGGATGGGCAGCCGCTGCCCGGTGGTACCGGAGCCCGGTGCTACCGCAGCCTGGTGGTACCGGAGCCGTGCGGCAGCAGCGAATGCAGGTGGAGGGAGGGAAGGAAGAAGGGAGGGTTGGGAGCAGCGAGCGCCGCCGCAGAGGACAATCCCGGGCCGGGCCCGGGCAGGGGAAAGCCGATGCTGAAAAGCCCCTGGGCCCGCAAGCTGGGTCGGAAGGGTCGCGGTGCTCCCGGGGAGGGCTCCGAACCCCGCTCAGGTGCGGGGATGCTCCGGGAGCTGCGGGCACCGCAGCTGTGGGGAGCCGGTTGGGAATGCGGAGGGAAGGCTCTGGCAGTGGGTGAAGCAGAAGCACAGCTGGAGTGCCACGAAGTGCTAAGTTGTTTCAGCCATTCTGCGTCTTCTGCTGTTGTATTTACGGTGTTTGTAACATCTTAGATGCTCTCGTTGCCATTAGCGAAGCAGTGTTAATGAGTGACGCTTCCTCAGGGTGCTGAATTTTGTGCATTTGCTGCGTTGGGAGCAATGTTTGAGTGACCTTTTGCATAACGGATGAAGGGTCATGGACACAACCCTTTGTTTTTTCACTGTCAAATCAACCTTAGCTTATCAAACCCTTACAGTATATTTGAACTTTTGTTTCTATTTGTGGAAAGTCGACTTTCTAAAGGTCTTTGTGGATATTTTTTTCACCCTAATATATTGTTACTGGGAGTGTAGTTAAGGGTTGGAGAAGGTACAAGGAATCTAAGAGGCACTCAGCTGCTGGTTCTTTTGAGCTGGAAGATTGAGTCTTTGTGTGTAATCCAAGAGAAACAACTGCCAACCACTGCCATGTTTGCATCTGTTGGTAAACATCAGCTGCTGGTTGGCCTTGAGCGAGGAAGACTGAATTAGTTCCAGATGGAGAACTCTTTCAGCCCATTTAGACTTTCCAGTTGATTTAAGCCAGCAGGTCAGTAATTTAGGGGAGTAGTTTTATTCTTCTTTGCTGTTCTGCTTCCTGCCATGTGTGGAATCAGTGATATCAAATCTGATATCTCAGAGGGTGGGGCTTTGGTTGTGCTTAATTTGCTTTGGTTTTAATTAAGTTGTATAAACAGAAAAGATATTTTAAAGCTGTGATAATTAACTATTTTGAATGTAGAGGGGTATTTTTTTAATGACCTGGAAAAGGAGGAGTAAAGAATCCATTTTTCCTAACAAATTCTCTTTGTAGAGGATGTGTATCTTTTTTTCAAAGTCTTGTATTAAACTGGGTTACCGCAAGTTCATGGTTTAATGTGATTGTGTCAGAGGGTCCCATATTTCAATGTGCTGTTGTCATGAATTCCTGAAAAAATATGAAGAAATAAGGGCACGTGGATGGAAATCTTCAGTGCATGGCTGTGGTAACTAGAGAACGTGAGGAATGGAAAATTTCACTGTGAAGTAGCTGCTGTGTAGGATACTGACATGAGATCTTTAACTCCTCAATGCCTCTTTCTGATTTATTTGAGATATCACAATGGGCATTTAAAAAGCATTAAAAATAAAATCTTAAAAAAAAAGAAAATAGAGTGAACTGCTCACAAAGTCAGGGCAGGTGCAGTAGCTCTTGTCACAGTTCTTGGATTTCTCTTGCCATTGATTATGAGAGGAGTAAAGACCACAGGGTGGTTTTGTTGTTGTCTCTGCTACTGTAACTTTTGCCACATTTTGTGTAATTTGTAAAAGAAAAGAGCTTTGTTTGCAAATCATTTAATGCCTTTTGTTGCCAAGTCTGTTAGAAAGGCTTTAAGAATTGCAAGTGCTAATACTGACTGTCATGGTATAGCAAAATGAGGAAGATTGCATTATGCCCATGTAATTAAACAGATGACCACTCTGGAAAGCTCTTGGATGTGTTTCCCTACCTTTTTTACCTGGATACATTTACCAGGGTTGCTCTGTGATTACTGGGAGTTACAGCTTTTGATTATCGATCTCTCTGACTCAGGTTGATAACAGGTTAATTAGTACTAAGGGCTGAGGTTCCTGCTTGGATTTGCTGGGTTGGAAAGATTTTTCTGGGGAGTGTTTAAAGACAGACTGAGGTCAAAAACACTGCAAAGTCTGGAAGAGGAGTTAGTTATAATTTGAAAGGCTGTGTTGAGGTGCTCCGGAGGAAAAAGGGCATAAAAGCACAAAGTCTGGAGGGTGGGTGGGTGTTATTTTAGAATAAAAAACCTCCCTAAGATAAGTTCTTGTTGCTTAATCTTGGCATGAAGACATCAGGAGTTCAAAATCCAGTCTGAAGGATTGCAGAAGTGTCTTTATCTTTCATAAAGTTCAGGTGAAATGTGCTATCTTTGCTGCATTAGAGATGTAAAACGTCACACATGTTTCTTCTTTCCCTTTTTTTCCCTTTTAGGCAGCAAACATGGAGCAGCCCACATGAAGAAGCATGTGGAGTTTATATTCCTGCAATACGTTCTTTGGAGGACCAATTTTCCAGGCCCCTGGGAGATGAAGCATTAACCACATGACATTTTTGTTTCAACAAGTGCTGTGTCAGTGTTGCTTTGTGTGAAGTACAGATATTCATTTCCTCACCTCACCATGTCGGCCGCGACAAGTGTCCTGACTTCGGCAACCCTAAGTCCTCCCCAGCTGGAGGAGAAGCCAAAGGGAAAATCCCTGTTGCAGCTGGGCTCACTCTTTGCTAACAGGAGTGAGAAATTTGTGATTGCTCGCAGTGA